CCTCAACACACAGGACCAGGTACACACGTCCCTCAACACACACGTGTCCCTCAACACACACGTGTCCCTCAACACACACGTGTGTGTCCTCAACACACACGTGTCCCTCAACACACAGGACAAGGTACACACGTGTCCCTCAACACACACGTGTCCCTCAACACAACACGTGTCCCTCAACACACACGTGTCCCTCAACACACAGGACCAGGTACACACGTGTCCCTCATCACACAGGACCATGACCAGGTCCAGGACCAGGTCCAGGTCTGTTTGTGAGGAGGAACATCAGAACAGGACTTAAAACTCACAGGAGTCAGTTTTGTGTGGTTCAGGATTTTTGAGTGATGATATTTGATTTGTGATTCGGTGTTTTGTCGTGTCTTCTCGTTCAGGACCTGCTGCTGGACGCTCTGGGCGAGAAGGTCTCCCTGGTCCATCAGAGCTGCGTGGACGACCGGGTCTCCACCTTCTCCACCTTAGAGAAGCTCACACAGATCGAGGCCACGCTCAGCGAACTCCTCCAGAACCTCGAGTCCATCCCACAGGAGAGTCTGGACCTGATGAGGAGAGTGAAGGAGAGCGAGAAGAGAGCCAGGTACAGGACCAGGACTAAACCAGGACTAAAACAGGACCGAACCAGGACCGAACCAGGACTAAACCAGGACTAAACCAGGACTGAACCAGGACTGAACCAGGACTAAAACCAGGACTGAGGACCAGGACTAAAACAGGACTAACCAGGACTGAACCAGGACTAAAACAGGACTGAACCAGGAACTTAAAACAGGACTGAAACCAGGACTAAACAGGACTGAACAGGACCGAACCAGGACTAACCAGGACTGAACCAGGACTAAAACAGGACAGGACTGAACCAGACTAACCAGGACTAAACCAGGACCGAACCAGGCCTAAACCAGGACTGAACCAGGACTAAAACCAGGACTAAACCAGGACTGAACCAGGACTAAACAGGACCGAACCAGGACTAAACCAGGACTAAAACAGGACTGAACCAGGACTAAACAGGACTAAAACAGGAAACCAGGACTAACCAGGACTGAAACCAGGACTGAAACCAGGACTAAACCAGGACCGAACCAGGACCAGGACTAACCAGGACTGAACCAGGACTGACTAAACCAGGACAGGAACCAGACTTAAACCAGGACTAAACCAGGACTAAACCAGGAACCAGGACTAAACCAGGACTAAAACAAAACCAGGACTAAACCAGGACTGAACCAGGACTAAACCAGGACTGAACCAGGACTAAACCAGGACTAAAACAAAACCAGGACTAAACCAGGACTAACCAGGACTAAACAGGACTAAACAGGGACTACAACCAGGACTAAACCAGGACTGAACCAGGACTAAACCAGGACTAAACCAGGACTAAACAAGGACTAGACAGGACTAACCAGGACCAACCAGGAACCAGGACTAAACCAGGACTGAAAACAGGACTGAACCAGGACTAAACCAGGAAACAGGACGAACCAGGACTGAGGACTAAACAGGACAGGATAAACCAGGACTGAACAAGGACTAAACCAGGACAAAACCAGGACTAAACCAGGACCAGGAACCTGACTAAACCAGGAAAAAAACCGGACTAAACCAGGACTAAACAGACTGAACCAGGACTAAAACAGGACTAAACAGGACTGAACAGGACACTAAACAGGACTAAAAACTCAGGACTAAACCAGGACTACTAAACCAGGAGGAACCAGGACTATACAGGACTACCAGGACTAAACCAGGACTGAACCAGACAAACCAGGACAAAACAGGACTAACCAGGGACTAAACCAGGACTAAACCAGACACTAAAACCAGGACTAAACCAGGACTAAACCAGGACTAAAACCAGACTAAACCAGGACTAAACAGGACTGAACCAGACTAAACCAGGAAACCAGGACTACCAGGACGAACCAGGACTAACTACCAGGACCCTAACCAGACTAAAACCAGGACTAAACCAGGACTGAAACTAAACCAAGGGACTAAACCAGGTCTAAACAGACTAAACCAGGACCAGGACTAAACCAGGACTAAAACCAGACTCTAAACCAGGACTGAACCAGACTAAACCAGGTCTAAACCACTAACCAGACTAAACCAGGTCTAAACAGGTCTAAACCAGGTTTAAACCAGATTTAAACCAGGTCTAAACCAGTCTAAACCAAGTCTAAATCAGGTCTAAACCAGGTCTAAACCAACCAGGTCTAAACCAGGTTCAGTCTAAACCATAAACCAGGTCTAAACCAGGTCTAAACCAGATCTAAACCGGTTTAAATCAGTCTAAACCAGGTCTAACCAGGTTTAAACCAGTTAAACCAGGTCTAAACCAGGTCTAAACCAGGTTTAAACCAGGTCTAAACCAGGTCTAAACCAGGTCTCTGCTGCAGGCAGCGTGAGGAGAAGTTGAGGGAGCAGCAGGAGAAGCAGAGGGAGCGGATGAGGAGGTACCTGGAGCGCTCCATGTCCGAGCCAAAGAAAGTCGTGAGTCCCACAAAACGTCTCGCTCCAAACTAAAACAAACCTCTGTATTTATCGGTGAAATACTCGGTTCAGTAATTATTATTTTTATTATTTTAAAACGTGAATGTTTTGTTTCAGCTGAAGAAAAAGCCGATGCCGAAGTTCGTCCGTGCGGTTCCAAAAGCTCCGGAGTCTAAAGTCGAGGAAACTGCAGCAGAAGAAGAAATCCAGAGATACCTGTTCCCCTCTGACGACTCGGACTAAACCAGGACTAAACCAGGACTAAACCAGGACGAAACCAACAGGACTAAACCAGGAACTAACCAACAACTAACGGACTAAAACAAGGACTAACAACAGGGACTAAACCAACAGGACTAAAACAGGACTAAACCAGGACTAAACCAACAGGACTAAACCAGGACGAAACCAGGACTAAACCAGAAATAAAACAAGACTAAACCAGGACTAAACCAGAGCTAAACTAGGACTAAACCAGGATTAAAACAGGACTGAACGAGGACTAAAACTGAACTAAAACAGAACTGAACCAGGACTAAAACTGGACTAAAATAGGACTGAACCAGGACTAAACCAGGAATAAACCAGGTCTAAAACGGGACTGAACCAGGGACTAAACCAGGGCTAAACCAGGACTGAACCAGGACTAAACCAGGACTGAACCAGGATTAAAACTGGACTAAAACCGGACTAAAACTGGACTGAACCAGGACTAAAACTGGACTAAAATAGGACTGAACCAGGACTAAACCAGGAATAAACCAGGACTAAAACGGGACTGAACCAGGGACTAAACCAGGACTAAACCAGGACTAAACCAGGATTAAAACTGGACTAAAACCGGACTAAAACTGGACTGAACCAGGACTAAAACTGGACTAAAACAGGACTGAACCAGTACTGAACCAGGTACTAAAACCAGGACTAAACCAGGACTAAACCAGGACTAAAACTGGACTAAAACTGGACTAAAACAGAACTGAACCAGGACTAAACCAGGGACTAAACTAGGATTAAACCAGGACTAAACCAGGACTAAACCAGGACGACAGATCCAGACTCAGCGGCAGAACTCAGAACACAGAAATATTTGACCTGTCACTGAACAGATGAGGTTATGTCAACGATGAAAACGGAAAAGAATCAGGTTTAAAACTTCTCACGCCAAAAATTATTAATAAACACAATATTTTAGAAAGTTTGATTTCCTGTCGCAAAACTGTCCCTTTTTTTTAAACCGGCTGGATCTTTTCTTCAGATCATAATGTGAGTGTCTTTATCCTCGCTGTAATATGACTCTGGAAGAAGCTGCCTCCATCATCCTCGTCCCCTCTGCATCCTCAGATTCAGACCGGACCAGACCGGACCAGACCGGACCAGACCGGACCAGACCGGACATCCCCACTGACCCGGGACAGTCCCAGGTCTGAGTCTGTGTCCCCCTGTCCCCGCAGATTTATACAAAACCACCGATTTGTCCCGGGTTTATACAAGAAATGTCCCAGGTGTGTCTATTTTGGACCAATTTGATCTAAACCGGGACTAAACCAGGACTATTTCAGGTCTAAACCAGGTCTAAACTAGGACTATTTCAGGTCTAAACCAGGACTAAACCAGAGCTAAAATTGAACTATATAAGGTCTAAACGGGGTCTAAACCAGAACTATTTCAGGTCTAAATCAGTTCTGAACTAGGACTAAACCACGACTATATCAGGTCTAAATCAGGTCTTAACAGGGTCTAAACCAGGACCGGTTCAGGTCTAAATCAGGTCTAAACCAGGTCTAAACTAGAGCTAAACTAGAACTATATCAGTTCTAAACTGGATCTAAACCAGGACTGTTTCAGGTCTAAACCAGGTCTAAACTAGAGCTAAAATAAATCTATGTCAGGTCTAAACCGGGTCTAAACCAAGACTATTTCCAGGTCTAAACCAGGTCTAAACCAGGACTATATCAGGTTTAAACAAGGTCTAAACAGAGTCTAAACAAGGACTATTTCAGGTCTAAGTCAGGTCTAAACTAGGACTAAACCAGGACTATTTCAGGTCTAAATCAGGTCTAAACCAGGTCTATTTTACATCTAAATTAGGTCTAAACTAGGACTAAACCAGGACTATATCAGGTCTAAACCGGGTCTAAACCAGGACTATTTCAGGTCTAAACCATGATTAACCAGGTCTAAACTAGGACTAAACTGGATTATTTTAGATCTAAACCAGGACTATTTCAGGTCTAAATTAGGTCTAAACTAGGACTAAACCAGGACTATTTCAGGTCTAAACCAGATCTAAACCAGGTCTAAACCATGACTAAACCAGGTCTAAACTAGGACTAAACTAGGACAAACAGGTCTAAACTAGACTAAATTTTAAACAGGTCTTTACTGGGTCTAAACCAGGTCTAAACCAGGTCTTTACCAGGTCTTAAACCAGGACTATTTCAGGTCTAAAACCAGGTCTAAACCAGGTCTAAACCATGACTAAACCAGGTCTAAACTAGGACTAAACCAGGTCTAAACTAGGACTAAACCAGATCTAAACTAGGACAAAAACTGGATTATTTTAGATCTAAACCAGGTCTAAACTGGGTCTAAACCAGGACTATTTCAGGTCTAAACCAGGTCTAAACAGGTCTAAACCATGACTAAACCAGGTCTAAAGGACTAACCAGGTCTAAACCAGGACTAAACCAGATCTAAACTAGGACAAAACTAGATTATTTTAGATCTAAACCAGGTCTAAACTGGGTCTAAACCAGGACTATTTCAGGTCTAAACCAGGTCTAAACCAGAACTATTTCAGGGCTAAACCAGGTCTGTACTGGGTCTAAACCAGGACTATTTCAGGTCTAAACCAGGTCTAAACCATGAGTAAACCAGATCTAAACTAGGACTAAACTGGATTATTTTACATCTAAACCAGGTCTAAACTAGGACTAAACCAGGACTATTTCAGGTCTAAACCAGGTCTTTACCAGGTCTAAACCAGGACTATTTCAGGTCTAAACCAGATCTAAACCAGGTCTAAACCATGACTAAACCAGGTCTAAACTAGGACTAAACCAGGTCTAAACCAGGACTAAACCAGATCTAAACTAGGACAAAACTAGATTATTTTAGATCTAAACCAGGTCTAAACTGGGTCTAAACCAGGACTATTTCAGGTCTAAACCAGGTCTAAACCAGAACTATTTCAGGTCTAAACCAAGTCTTTACCGGGTCTAAACCAGGACTATTTCAGGTATAAACCAGGTCTAAACCAGGTCTAAACCATGAGTAAACCAGATCTAAACTAGGACTAAACTGGATTATTTTACATCTAAACCAGGTCTAAACCAGGACTATTTCAGGTCTAAACCAAGTCTTTACCGGGTCTAAACCAGGACTATTTCAGGTATAAACCAGGTCTAAACCAGGACTAAACCTGGACTAAACTAGGGCTAAACCAAGACTATATCTGGACTATTTCAGATCTAAACCAGGACTATCACTGTCAGATTACTCAGCGGCGTCTTTCCTGTAAACATGACGAATAAATAAAATAAAATAAATCACTTTTACTCATCACGAGAGGGCGACATTTTCACTTTTTTATTTTTTTTATTTTTTTTTTTTACACACCGAACCAGGAAGTGCCGGGAGCATCCTCAGACATGTAGCCGCGCCGTAGTTCACCTGCTTCGGCTTCGGGACACCGGCTCTTCTCGCGGGACCATCCGACAATGCGATGGGAAACTGCTGGGCTTACTGCGCGGGGCTGTTCCGCAGGGAGGCCGACCGACTGCAGCGGGGAGGCGGGTAAGGGGAGCCGACGCGACCCGCTGTAGCCTTTAGCATCCGGGGCTAACCGAGCTAACGGCTAACAGCGCCCCGCCGGACACTCGGGTCTTAACTGGAAAAATACAGAAAATAAAACGATAAAGTGAACATTTAAAACGTTTATTTACTAAACACACACGTCCTGAAATGTAGAATGTGTCTAGGGAAGAAGGCGCGGTGGTTTAAGATGCGGAAAAGCGTAAAAATGTGAGGAAATCTTTAATCAATTATTAGTCCGGACAGACCCCGCCCGTGTCCGCAGTTGTCCCCCGGGGTCAAGCTTCGTCCCCGGCTGAGGTCAGCGGAGGAACCGGTGATCAGAAGCGTTGGGAAGTTTACATTTAAAACGTAATCCACAGACAGATTACAGATTACACACCCCAAAATGTACTTTGTAAAGTAATCCATTAAAGGATTTAAAGTGAGTAACGTAATCTGATTACTTTGGATTACTTGGTTTTCTGTAGAGAAGCAAAGACGAGGAAATCTTCACTTAAGAAGTTTTGTCTGATAAAAGAAAATAAAAAGTCCAGACTTTACTGAACCAAATTAAAAATATTATTGATAGAAAACGAAGAGACACGTCCACACAGCAGGATTTAGTCCTGTTAAATCCTGGTTTAGTCCTGGTTTTAGACGTGGTTTTAGACCTGGTTTAGACCTAGTTTTAGACCTGGTTTAGACCTAATTTAGACCTGGTTTTAGACGTGTTTTAGACGTGGTTAGACCTGGTTAGATTAGACTGGTTTTAGACTGGTAGACCTGGTTAGACGTGGTTTAGACCTGGTTTTAGACCTGGTTTTAGACGTGGTTTAGACCTGGATTAGACCTTTAGACGTGGTTTTAGACCTGATTTAGACGTGGTTTAGACCTGGTTTAGAGTGGTTTTAGACGTGGTTTAGACCTGGTTTAGACCTGGTTTTAGATGTTTTAGACGTGGTTTAGACCTGGTATAGACATGGTTTAGACCTGGTTTTAGACGTGGTTTAGACGTGTGGTTTAGACCTAGTTTAGTTCAGACTTAGTTTAGACCTGTTTAGACCTGGTTCAGAACCTAGTTTAGACCTGATTTTAGACGTGGTTTAGACTGGTTTTAGACGTGGTTTAAGTTTAGACCTTTCAGACCTAGTTTAGACCTGTTTAGACCTTTTAGACCTGTTTAGACCTGGTTTAGACCTGGTTCAGACCTGGTTTTAGACCTGGTTTTAGACCTAGTTTTAGACGTGGTTTAGACCTGATTTTAGACGTGGTTTAGACCTGGTATAGACGTGGTTTAGACCTGGTTTTAGACGTGGTTAGACCTAGTTTAGACCTAGTTTAGACCTGGTTAGACCTAGTTTAGACCTTTAGACCTGGTTCAGACCTGGTTCAGACCTAGTTTAGACCTAGTTTTAGACCTGGTTTAGACCTAATTTAGACCTGATTTTAGACGTGGTTTTAGACCTGGTTCAGACCTAGTTTACACCAGGTTTAGACAGGGTTCAGACCTGGTTTTAGACCTAGTTTTAGACGTGGTTTAGACTGGTATAGACGTGGTTTAGACCTAGACGTGGTTTAGACCTGGTTTTAGACCTGGTTTTAGACCTGGTTTTAGACGTGGTTTAGACCTGGTTTTAGACGTGGTTTAGACCTGGTTTAGACCTAGTTCAGACCTAGTTTAGACCTGGTTTAGACCTGGTTCAGACCTGGTTCAGACCTAGTTTAGACCTAGTTTAGACCTGGTTTAGACCTGGTTTAGACCTGGTTCAGACCTAGTTTAGACCTAGTTTTAGACCTGGTTTAGACCTAATTTAGACCTGGTTTTAGACGTGGTTTTAGACCTGGTTTAGACCTGGTTCAGACCTAGTTTAGACCAGGTTTAGACAGGGTTCAGACCTGGTTTAGACCTAGTTTTAGACGTGGTTTAGACCTGATTTTAGACGTGGTTTAGACCTGGTTTAGACCTGGTATAGACGTGGTTTAGACCTGGTTTTAGACCTGGTTTTAGACGTGGTTTAGACCTGGTATAGACGTGGTTTAGACCTGGTTTTAGACCTGGTTTAGACCTGGTTTAGACCTGGTTTAGACCTGGTTTTAGACGTGGTTTAGACCTGGTTTTAGACGTGGTTTAGACCTGGTTTAGACCTAGTTTAGACCTGGTTCAGACCTGGTTTAGACCTGGTTTAGACCTGGTTTAGACCTGGTTTTAGACCTGGTTTAGACCTGGTTCAGACCTGGTTTTAGACCTGGTTTTAGTCCTGGTTTAGACCTGGTTTTAGACCTGGTTTAGACCTGGTTTTAGACCTGGTTTAGACCTGGTTTTAGACCTGGTTTTAGACCTGGTTTAGTGTCCGGCAATGAGTGGAATTACGGTGGAATGTACTCTGATTACGTAACTCCAGTACATGTAATCTGTTACTCCCCAACACTGGTGATCAGACCTGCCCTATTTACCCCGGGACAGTCCCAGGTCTGAGTCTGTGTCCACCTGTCCCCGCAGATTTATCCAAAACCACTGATTTGTCCCGAGTTTATACAAGAAATGTCCCAGGTGTGTCTATTTTGGACCCATTTGATCTAAACTAGGGCTAAAATAGAACCAGGTCTAAACCAGGACTATATCAGGTCTAAACCAGGACTATTTCAGGTCTAAATCTGTTCTAAACTAGGACTAAACCACGACTATATCAGGTCTAAACCAGGTCTTAACTGGATCTAAACCAGGACCATTTCAGGTCTAAACCAGATTTAAACCAGGTCTAAACTAGAGCTCAACCAGGACTATATCAGGTCTAAACCGGTTTTAAACCAGGTCTATTTTACGTCTAAATTAGGTCTAAACTAGGACTAAACCAAGGCTATTTCAGGTCTAAACCAGGTCTTTACCGGGTCTAAACTAGGACAAAACCAGGTCTAAATTAGAGCTAAAATAGAACTCTATCAAGTCTGAACCGGGTTTAAACCAGGTCTGTTTCAGGTCTAAATCAGGACTAAACCAGGACTAAAATAGAAGTATATCAGGTCTAAACTGGATCTAAACCAAGACTATATCAGGTTTATTGCGGTAGTTTTTTATTTATTGTATTATATTATTTATAGTTTTTTTATTGCGATAAACGATAATATTGACATTTTGAGACCTTTTTTCTACTAATATAACGACCATGGAATCAGCGAGAACTTTTGAACAAAAAAGCACTTGAAAATAAACTTGGTCATCACACTTGAGACACAGGTTAACGGGTCAGATCTACGGAAAAACGAGCACGCACATGGAAAGAATGAGTGTTTTTATTGTGTTTTTGAGCTCTAAAACACCTTTAACTGATCAAATTTAAAAATAAATAATCTATTTAAAAAATAATATAATAATAATAATATAAATAAAATAATAATATAAAAAATATAATAATATAATAAAATAAAAATACAAAAAAATAAATAAAATAATAATATAAATAAAATAATAATATAAAAAATATAATAATATAATAAAATAAAAATAAAAAATAAATAATCATGGAAATAACATCTCCATGGAGGCAGGAAAGGCTCATTTTTGCAATTTTTGGAGTGAAACCAAATCTGTTTTCCCGTTTTTCTTCAGGTCCAAGTACTTTCGGAGCAGCACGGTCGGGGAGCATTACACCATAGAGGTACGAGCGCGACCACAGACGCACTCACCACCTCGTTACGCCGAAAGATCTCAACGTGTTTGTCATTTGAGTAACTCTGAGGGTTTTTTTTATCGTTTACAGTTTGAGAACTTGGTGGAAAGTGATGAGGTGAGTTCTTCTCATTCTGGATTTTTGAATGTGTGAAGGAGAAGGGGAAGAACAGAGCAGAGGGTCAGGAGGAGGAGGTCAGAGAAGGTCAGAGGAGGAGAGGAGAAATTCAGGAGGAGGAGGTCAGAGGAGGGTCAGAGGAGGAGAGGAGAAGGTCAGAGGAGGAGAGGAGGAGAAGGTCAGAGGAGGAGAGGAGAAGGTCAGAGGAGGAGAGGAGAAGGTCAGGAGGAGCAGAGGAGAAGGTCAGGAGGAGGAGAGGAGAAGGTCAGGAGGAGGAGAGGAGAAGGTCAGGAGAGGAGGAGAGGAGAAGGTCAGGAGAGGAGGAGAGGAGAAGGTCAGGAGGAGAGGAGGAGGTCAGAGAAGGTCAGAGGAGGAGAGGAGAAGGTCAGAGAGGGAGGAGAGGAGAAGGTCAGAGAAGGGTCAGAGGTGAGGAGCAGAGGAGGGTCAGAAGGTCAGAGGGTCAAAGGAGCAGAGAGGAGCAGAGGAGAAGGTCAGAAGGGGCAGAGGAGCAGAGGAGAAGGTTCAGAAGGTCAGAGGAGGAGAGGAGAAGGTCAGAGGAACAAAGGAGCAGGTCAGAAGGTCAGAGGAGTTGTATGAGAGTTTTCCTGTTTATCTTGTGCTTCTGTTTCAGGGAGCAGAGAGTCCACAGCCCTGCCCCAAGTAAGACTTTCACTTTCACTTTTACAGATTCTAAAGTTAGTCTGTGTGACTTTGAAATGTTCCTCAGTGTAGCATTAAGCTTATTTACCTCTATCACGAGGAGACGGGGCACGTCTGTGGAGAGGCGAGCCTGCTTGGATTTACGAAGTCGTGTTTTTAGAGTATTTTTACAGCAACAGAAACACCTGTAATGTAATAAATGCTTCACTGTGGAACTTTCCCGGCAAAGGTTGAAATTCGTTCTTCAAAATAAAACAAAAAAAAATAAGAAAATGGAAAAACAATAATTTTCTTCATTATTTGTCTCCAAAACCAAAGTGAAAAAACAGATAATGATTGATTTTTTTGATTTTGTGTTTAAACAAAAAATGGATAAAGGACTGAACCAGGACTAAAACAGGACTGAACCAGGACTGAACCAGGTCTAAATCAGGACTAAAACAGGACTGAACCAGGCCTGAACCAGGTCTAAATCAGGACTAAAACAGGACCGAACCAGGACCGAACCAGGCCTGAACCAGGCCTGAACCAGGACTGAGTGTCAGGACGGGCTCAGAAGTGCGCCCATGTAATCTGTCAGGTGATCGGGACTGAGACCGGTTTAGTCTTGGATCAGTCCTGGTTTAGTCCTGGAATCTGTTCTGGGATCAGTTCTGGTTTAGATCTAGTCTAGACCTGTTTTAGTCCTGGTTCAGTCCTGGGATCTGTCCTGGGATCAGTTCTGTTTTAGTCCTGTTTTAGTCCTGTTCGGTCCTGGTTCAGTCCTGGTTTAGTCCTGGTTTAGTCCTTGGTTCAGTTCTGGTTCAGTCCTTGGTTTAGTCCTTGGTTCAGTTCTGGTTCAGTCCTTGGTTTAGTCCTTGGTTCAGTCCTGGTTCAGTCCTTGGTTCAGTCCTGGTTCAGTCCTGGTTCAGTTCTGGTTCAGTCCTTGGTTTAGTCCTTGGTTCAGTTCTGGTTCAGTCCTTGGTCCTTGGATTAGTCCTTGGTTCAGTCCTGGTTCAGTCCTGGTTCAGTCCTTGGTTTAGTCCTTGGTTCAGTTCTGGTTCAGTCCTGGTTTAGTCCTTGGTCAGTTCTGGTTTAGTCCTTGGTTTAGTCCTTGGTTTAGTCTGGTTCAGTTCTGGTTTCAGTTCTGGTTCAGTCCTGGTTTAGTCCTTGGATTAGTCCTTGGTTTAGTCCTTGGTTTAGTCCTTGGTTTAGTCCTGGTTCAGTCCTGGATTAGTTCAGTCCATTATCTGTTTTTTCATTTTAGTTTTGTAGACAAATGTTGAAGAAAACAGTCTTGTTTTTGTTTTTGTTTTTTTCGTTTCTTATTTTCAGTTTTATTTTGAAAAACGAGTGATACTTGGACTTTTCCCGCCGCGCTCGTCTGAACCTTTTGTCCGTTTTCCTTTCCCCCACAGGCCGATCTCGGAGGACGAGATCAAACACCTGCGCGACCACCACTACTCCGCCCTCTCCGAAAAACAGCTCCACATCGACAAAAAACTCCAGCAAGAGGTCAAGTCCACCTTTAAAAAACTTCTTCTCCTGTTTCCTCATTTGTTTTTTGTCATTTTTGGCTTCACTTTTGGTTCCGCTCCGGTTTTGGTTTGAGTAATTTTATTTTGCTTTGTGCTTTTTTTGTTTGTTTTTGTTTTGTTTTTTTATTTCCGTAGTTAGAGGCACAAGAGGAGCAGTTAAGGCTAGAAGAGGAGGCTAGGCACGCCGCCCAGCGCGAGGTCGCACGCTCGGCACGAGAGCAGAGGGCCAAGGAGGTGAGCGCCCCCCGCTGGCTCCTCCGACCACTGCACTTACGCGTGTGTGTGTGTGTGTGTGTGTGTGTGTGACGAGAGAGCGGCGAAACGTAAACAAAATCGGGCGAAACGTAAAGCTCGAATTAAAAAAAAATACATAGTCGTCGTTAAAAATTTGAATCGTCTCGAAAAAAACGAATCCCGTTTCTCCTCAAACTGTGAGTCTCTCTGTGGTTTTAATTTAAACGAAAATTTGACACGTTTTTTCAGCCTCTGTTTGGTTTAGTCCTGGTTTAGTCCTGGTTTAGATCTGGTTTAGTCCTGGTTTAGTCCTTGGTTTAGTCCTTGGTTTAGTCCTGGTTTAGTCCTGGTTTAGTCCTGGTTCAGTCCTGGATTAGATCTGGTTTAGTCCTGGTTTAGATCTGGTTTAGTCCTGGTTCAGTCCTGGTTTTCAGTCCTGGATCTGGTTTAGTCTGGTTTTATCTTGGTTTAGTCCTGGTTTAGATCTGGTTTAGTCCTGGTTCAGTCCTGGATTCGATCTGGTTTAGTCCTGGTTTAGATCTGGTTTAGTCCTGGTTCAGTCCTGGATTAGATCTGGTTTAGTCCTGGTTTAGATCTGGTTTAGTCCTGGTTTAGTCCTGGTTTAGACCTGGTTTAGTCCTGGTTTAGATCTGGTTTAGTCCTGGTTCAGTCCTGGTTTAGAGTCCTGGTTTAGTCCTGGTTCAGTCCTGGGTTTAGTCTGGTTCAGTCTGGTCTGGTTTTAGTCCTGGTTTAGTCCTGGTTCAGTCTTGGTTTAGTCCCTGGTTCTTTGGTTTAGTCCTGTTTAGTCCTTGTTCAGTCCTTGGTTCAGTCCTGGTTAGTCCTGGTTTAGTCCTGGTTAGTCCTGGTTTAGTCCTGGTTCAGTCCTGGTTCCTGGTTTAGTCCTTGGTTCTGTTTAGTCCTGGTTTAGTCCTGGTTTAGTCTGGTTCAGTCCTGGTTCAGTCCTGTTTAGTCCTGGTTAGTCCTGGTTTAGGTCCTGGTTAGTCCTGGTTGTCCTGGTTTCAGTCCTGGTTTAGTCCTGGTTTAGTCCTTGGTTCAGTCCTGGTTCAGTCCTGGTTTAGTCCTGGTTCAGTCCTGGTTTAGTCCTTGGTTTTAGTCCTGGTTTAGTCCTTGGTTTAGTCCTGGTTTAGTCCTGGTTCAGTCCTTGGTTCAGTCCTGGTTTAGTCCTTGGTTCAGTCCTGTTTTAGTCCTGGTTCAGTCCTGGTTTAGATCTGGTTTAGTCCTGGTTTAGATCTGGTTTAGTCCTGGTTCAGTCCTGGTTTAGATCTGGTTTAGTCCTGGTTTAGATCTGGTTTAGTCCTGGTTTAGTCCTTGGTTCAGTCCTGGTTTAGATCTGGTTTAGTCCTGGTTCAGTCCTGGATTAGATCTGGTTTAGTCCTGGTTTAGTCCTGGTTCAGTCTTTGGTTTAGTCCTGGTTCAGTCTTTGGTTTAGTCCTGGTTTAGTCCTGGTTCAGTCCTTGGTTCAGTCCTGGTTTAGTCCTTGGTTCAGTCCTTGGTTCAGTCCTGGTTTAGTCCTGGTTTAGTCCTGGTTCAGTCCTTGGTTCAGTCCTGGTTCAGTCCTGGTTTAGTCCTTGGTTCAGTCCTGGTTCAGTCCTGGTTTAGTCCTGGTTCAGTCCTGTTTTAGTCCTTGGTTCAGTCCTGGTTTAGTCCTGGTTCAGTCCTGGTTTAGTCCTTGGTTCAGTCCTGGTTTTAGTCCTGGTTCAGTCCTGGTTCAGTCCTGGTTTAGATCTGGTTCAGTCCTTTACCCTGACGCTCTGTTACAAACACATCACTCCTCTCCTGCTTCTGCGTTCACATCCCGCTCGTTTTTGTTCCGTTGCTCTTGGTTTCACTTCATTTCGCCGTCGTTTATTTTCCGTTTTCGTCGGTTCTTTTCGTTTGTACTGAGCCGTGCGTTTCTCCTCAGTTGGCGTCTCAGAGGAGCAGAGGCCGAGCCGACGGAGCCACGGAAGAGACCCGAGACCAAAGAAAGTCAGTCCTCCGGTGTTTTCAGAAAGTTTTTACCGTGAAATGTGGGGGTTTTAATTTTGGATTTAAAATTTTATTTTTTTTCCCCCGCAGACAGAGCGAGAAAGGCGTGGATTTCGACGCCTACCTCCAGAATGTGAAGGCCCAGTCTGAGGCGTTCAGGAGCAACCGTGAGTCCGGACTTGGTTTTTACCTGCGGGTGATGTTCAAGAGGGAGGATTACACTTTTACTGAAGCCCCGCCCCGAGCTTTACTCCGCCCCCGAAGCAAAATCTGACAAATCCTCCAGAGTGGGCGGGCTCCGGAGCGATGATTGACAGGCGACCGACAGCCACAACAGTATAACAGGTCACGGCGGCGTCAGGTCGGGGCGGGACACGGCGGCGTCGGGGCGGGACACGGCGGCGGTCGGGGCGGGACGGGACAGGCGGCGTCGGGGTCAGGGACACGGCGGCGTCGGGGCGGGACACGGCGGCGTCAGGTCGGGGCGGGACATGGCGGGTTCAGGGCATCGGGCGGGACACGGTGGTCGGCGTCAGTCGGGGCAGGCGGGACATGGCGGCGTCAGGGCAGGGAACATGGCGGTGTCGGGGTCGGGGTCAGGTGGCGGGACATGGCGGGGGTCGGGTCGGTGGGTCGGGGCGGGACATGGCGGCGTCGGGGCGGGACATGGCGGTGTCAGGTCGGGGTGGGACATGGCGGGTGGTCGGGTCGGTCGGGGCGGGACATGGCGGCGTGTCGGGGCGGGACATGGCGGCGGCGTCGGGGCAGGACATGGCGGTGTCAGGTCGGGGCTCCTCATGTCCCGCCCGTAGACGCCAGTGTCTGCTCTCGTCACGTATCAACCTGAATCTGACTCATCGGCGCCGTTTGTCCAACACCAAAACTCAAACGTCCTGTTGATCCTGAAGAGGCCGATACAAACAAGACTCAGACCCAAAAGACACATTTTTAACAAATCTGCACCAAAATGACAAAATAAAACCAGAGACAGAGACACACTTCTGTTTTATGCTGCGTTTATTCTCTTGAGCTCGGGACTCGGGGAAACCGACCTCCACCTCGAGAAAGTGCAGTGGAACGGCCGAACGTGGATTTACGTCACTGCAAAAACGTCAGCGCACACAGTAAACGGGGAGAATCGTCTTTTGGTCGTGTTGACGCGTTCAGTCGTGTTTGTGCAGAGAAAGTGTCTCTAAAAACTTAATCGTGACATTTAGACTTTTCTCTCACATCATTTGACAGAAACACCACACTCCCCCGTCAGAGCGCCGTCCCGTCACTGTCGCCGTTAATCAAACTTCTGCATCAGGTCTGATTTTTATTTTTTATTTCTCTCCCCCCCCCCGGTGTTTGTGGTCCAGGTTTGCCCTCGGACCCGACTGTGGTGACCCCGAACACGGAGCTGAGCTGGGACTTCACCACCAAGACCCGGTCCACAGAGGACGGGACCTCGCTGGACCTGGAGTGGGAGGACGAGGAAGGTACTGAGCCAGGATTGGACTGGGGACTGGACCAGGGACTAAAACAGGACTAAAACAGGACTAAAACGGGTGTAAAATGAGATTAAACCAGGACTAAACTAGGACAAAACCAGGACTAAAAGAGGACTGAACCGGAGACTGAACCGGAGACTGAACCGGAGACTAGACCAGAAGACAGAGACTAGACCTAGACCAGAGACTAGACCAGAGACTAGACCAGGGACTGAATCAGGGACTAAACCAGGAATAAACTGAGAATAAAAAATGGTCTAAAACCAGGTTGAAATGAGACTAAATCAGGACTAAACCAGGAGTAAACCAGGATTGAATCAGAGACTGAATCAGGAATAAACTGAGACTAAAACAGGTCTAAAAGGGGTGTAAAATGCGACTCAACCAGGACGAAACCAGGACTAAAACAGGACTAAAAGAGGACTGAACCAGAGATTGAACCAGAGACTGAACCGGGGACTAGAGTAGAGACTAGACCAGGGACTAGACCGGGACTGAATCAGGGACTGAATCGGGAATAAACTGAGACTAAAACGGGTCTAAAACCAGATTGAAATGAGGCTAAACCAGGTCTAAAATGAATAAACGGTTTCGGAGCGTTCAGAGACAAAAGTGCGCGAGGTGGGATGAGGTTGTTGTTGTTTTCCCGATTCCCGCTGATCCGTTTGTGTTTTTCCAGGGATAAACCGCTCTCTGCCGCCGTGGGAGCGCTCGCGGACGGAGGAGGACATCCTGAGAGCCGCGCTCAGACCCGGATCTAAACCCACGTCCGAGGAGTCCACCGCCCTGGAGTGGGAGAACGACTTCATCAGCTCCCAGGACTGCGCCGAACCGGGGACGGGCCGACCGGACCCGGACCCGCTGGACCAGGACCCGCTGGACCAGGACTTGGACTTGGACTCTGAGTTTGAGGGTTTTGTGAATCCCGTTTTGGAGCTGGACACTCCGTCGGACGTGGAGGACAGTCACAGATAGTAGCTCCTCTGGAGCTGCGGCGACTTTTCACGGCGCTGCACCTGATTTTTACTTCCGAAAAAAACGTTAAAAAACCAAAACTGGTTCATTCTAAACATTTCACGAGGTCCAGAGTTTTTCCTCTCGGACCTTCTGCGTTCAGAGCGTCTGAATTATTCGGCGCCGTGAGTTTATACGAGATTTTTATAAAGTTCAGACCAGAGAGAAGTTTTACTGTCAAACAAAAAACACCAGGACTGAACAAGGTCTAAAATGAGACTAAACCTGGACTAAACCTGGACTAAACCTGGACTAAACCTGGACTAAACCAGGTCTAAAATAAGACTAAACCTGGACTAAACCAGGACTGAACAAGGACTGAACCAGAGACTAAACCAGGACTAAACCAGGTCTAAAATAAGACTGAACCTGGACTGAACCTGGACTGAACCTGGACTAAACCTGGACTAAACCAGGTCTAAAATGAGATTAAACCAGGACTAAAAGAGGTTTAAACCAAGTCTAAACCAGGACTGAACCAGGACTAAACCAGGTCTAAAATAAGACTAAACCTGGACTAAATCAAGTCTAAATCAGGTCTAAAATGAGACTAAATCAGGTCTAAAAGAGGTTTAAACCAAGTCTAAACCAGGACTGAATTAGGTCTAAACCTGGACTGAACCTGGACTGAACCTGGACTAAACCAGGTCTAAACCAGGTTTAAATCAAGACTTAACCAGGTCTAAAATTGGACTAAACCAAAACCAGGACTAGCATGCTAACAGCTGTCCTTCCTGCTCGTCTGACAGTAAAACTCTTCACGTTCGGACTCGACGGACTCGTTGTTTTTTTTTTCACTTCGGGACACGAAAAATCAGGTCCAGCGCCTTTTTTTTTTAGTTTTTTTTTTTTTTTAGACCCGAGTCCGTTTGGATCAAAGCTTTTCAGTGCCTTCATCTGAACCGCCGTCCATCCTCCGACCGCTCAAACACGACAGGCGCGCGACAGGTGCACCCACAGGCGAGCGGCAGGTGAGCGCCCGCAGACCCACGCCTTTGTTCCCCCGGGTTTATTTATTTACGTTTAGTCCTGAAAAGACGTGAAGCGTTTGGAGGCGGCCTGGTGTTTTTGAGCAGAAGTCGAGCCTCGAGGAGATAAAACCGCGTGTTCTGCCTGTGCCTGAGGTTTTCACGCGGGTCGGGGGTCGAACCGAACACGGACGACTTCACGCTGATGTTGGGTCGAGCGTAACGAGCCGGCGTCGCTCCATTTAACCCAACATTTACCAGACAAAATAAAAACTGAACATTTCTGTGTGTTTTGGTGGTGAAAATCTGCTGACGGGTCATTTAAAAAAACATTAAAATCATCAGTCAATCACCAGGACTAAACCAGAACTAAACCAGGACTAAACCAGGTCTAAACCAGGTCTAAACCAGGTCTAAACCAGGACTAAACCAGGACTAAACCAGAACTAAACCAGGACTAAACCAGACTAAACCAGGACTAAACCAGGTCTACTAAACCAGGTCTAAACCAGGACTAAACCAGGACTAAACCAGGACTAAACCTAAACCAGGACTAAACCAAAAACACTAAACCAGGACTAAACCAGGTCTAAACCAGGTCTAAACCAGGTCTAAACCAGGACTAAACCAGGACTAAACCAGGACTAAACCAGAACTAAAAAACTAAACCAGGACTAAACCAGGTCTAAACCAGGTCTAAACCAGGACTAAACCAGGACTAAACCAGGACTAAACCAGGTCTAAACCAGGACTAAACCAGGTCTAAAAACCAGGTCTAAAACCAGGACTAAACCAGGACTAAACCAGGACTAAACCAGGTCTAAACCAGGTCTAAACCAGGACTAAACCAGGACTAAACCAGGTCTGAAACAGGACTAAACCAGGTCTAAACCAGGTCTAAACCAGGACTAAACCAGGACTAAACCAGACTAAACCAGGACTAAACCAGGACTAAAAGGACCAGTCTAAACCAGGTCTAAACCACTAAACCAGGACTAAACCAGGACTAAACCAGGACTAAACCAGGTCTAAACCAGGTCTAAACCAGGACTAAACCAGGACTAAACCAGAACTAAACCAGGACTAAACCAGGTCTAAACCAGGTCTAAACCAGGACTAAACCAGGTCTAAACCAGGACTAAACCAGGACTAAACCAGGACTAAACCAGGACTAAAAGTCTAAACCAGACTAAACCAGGACTAAACCAGGTCTAAACCAGGTCTAAACCAGGACTAAACCAGGACTAAACCAGGACTAAACCAGGTCTAAACCAGGACTAAACCAGGTCTAAACCAGGACTAAACCAGGACTAAACCAGGTCTAAACCAGGACTAAACCAGGACTAAACCAGGTCTAAACCAGGTCTAAACCAGGTCTAAACCTGGTCTAAACCAGGTCTAAAACCAGGTATAAACCAGGTCTCTAAACCAGGTCTAAAACCAGGTCTAAATCCAGGTCTAAAACCAGGTCTAAACTAGGACTAAAGCAGGACTAAAACCAGGTCTGAACCACGTCTGAACCAGGACTAAAACCAGGTCTAAACCAGGTCTAAAACAGAACTAAACCTGGTCCAAACCAGGTCTAAAACCAGGTCTAAACCAGTTCTAAACCTGGTCTAAACTAGGACTAAAGCAGGACTAAAGCAGGACTAAAACCAGGTCTTAACCAGGTCTGAACCAGGACTAAAACCAGGTCTAAACCATCCTCGTCTTTGCTTTTCTACAGCAAATCAAGTAATCCAAAGTAATCAGATTACATTACTCACTTTAAGTACTTTAATGTAGGGGATTACATTTTTAAAGTAATCTTCCCAACACTGGATATTACTAAAGGTATTGTCCAAAGCTGTAACCAAACATCACTGCAAAAATAATTCTTCTTTTATTTCATTTTTTTTAAAAAACTAAAAAAAAACTAAAAACAAAAATGTCAAAACTTCGGCTGAATTTGAGTTTTGAAATTTTTGCTTTTGCAGATTTGAACCAGCAAATGTTTCTTCTGCCTGAATGTCCAGTTTTGGATTTTTGTTAAAGCTTTGAATCAATTCTTTAAGTTTTTTTTTTTTTATTTTTTTTAGGGGAGGCACCGAAAAGAAAATTTGTGGCTGAAACCGAATAAAAATGAAACGCTTGGTCGAATAACGAAACCGGAAAATTTTTCATTATTTAATTTTTTTTTGTAATTATATAAATGTTCAAGAATAAATTTGTAGACATTTGTTTTTATTTTTAAAAGAAAGTAAAAGTTTATTTTATACTGAATATTTTTGTTTGTCGAATATTCGGTGCGTCACAACTATTTTAAACTCTTCAGCGGTCGCCACGGTAACACGACGCAAAGGTTTAACGGACAGACGGAGCAGTGCCTCCGGTTACAACAGTGTCAGTCGATTTTCAAAATAAAATAAAAATAAGAAAAATAAAATAAATAAACAACGATTTTCTTCATTATTTGTCTCCAAAACCAAAATGAAAAAAAAAAACAGATTAAGGACTAAACCAGATCCAGGACAGAGACCGGGACCAGATCAGGAACCAGACCGGGACTTAGACTGAGACCAGGACCAGGACTTAGACTGAGTCCGGGACCAGGACCAGGACTTAGACTGGGCCCAGACTGAGACTGAGACCGGGACTGAGACCAGGACCAGAATGGGACCAGAATGGGACCAGACAAGGACTGAGACCGGGATCGAGGTTGAGGCTGGGACCGGGACCGAGACCGGGACTGAGACCAGGACTGAGACTGGGACTGAGTCCGGGACCAAGACCAGGACTGAAAACAGTTTAGTCCTGGTTTAGTCCTGGTTTAGTCCTGGTTTAGTTCTGGCTTTAGTTCTGGTTTACACAAAATCGAAAACTGAAAAAAACAAATCTTTATCTGTTTTTTTTTTTTTTTCATTTTATTATTTTTGTTTTTATTTTGAAAAACGAACAAACGACACACAGATCGTTTTATCCTCCCGCCACAGGAAAAGTTTTTGACGTGGAGTTTTCTTCTTCTTGTTTGTTTGTTCTGCTGTTTTCACTTCAGATTAAAAATAAAGGGTCTGTCGGTTTGTCTGAAATAATCAGAATTACACGAAAATAATTTAATCAATCGATGTTTTTGCCTTTAATCCAGTCACTAATTGCACTTTTTTTTTTTTTTTATAATAATGTTTGTGATTTTTTTAGATTTTGATTTTTGTTTTCGCTGCTCATCATTTTGTGTAACTTTGTGTAAATACGAAATGTTTTGTCTCTGTCACGAGAAATAAAAATGCTGTAAAATGAAAAGCGGTGGTGGTGACGGCGGCGGCGGCGGCGGCGGCGTTGCGGGTCAGACTCCCGGCGTGTGTCCGCACTGCGACACGTCCGCGGGGGTAAAAATAGCGTGAGGGTGTCGCCCGCGGGGAGACACTCGATCCGTTTGTGTTCAGACACTTGAGTCTTTTGTCCGAGGAGAAAAGACGCAAAAAAAAAAAAAAAACAAACAAAAAAAAAAAAATAAAAAAATACGAATCTGACACGAAGTTTGGACCTGAGAGTCTCCAGTACACAAACAAAACACTTTTAATCAAAACCAGGACTAAACCAGGACTAAAACCAGGAATAAACCAGGACTAAAACTAAACCAGGACCGAACCAAGGACTGAACCAGGACTAAACCAGGACTGAACCAGGACTAAACCAGGACTAAACCAGGACTGAACCAGGACTGAACCAGGACTAAATGGAGACAAAACCAGGACTAAACCAGGTCTAAACCAGGACTAAACCACGACTGAACCACGACTGAACCAAGGACTGAACCAGGACTAAACCAGGACTAAACCAGGACTAAACCAGGACTAAACCAGGACTAAATGGAGACAAAACCAGGACTAAACCAGGACTAAACCAGGTCTAAACCAGGTCTAAACCAGGACTAAACCACGACTGAACCAAGGACTGAACCAGGTCTAAACCAGGACTAAACCAGGACTGAACCAGGACTAAATGGAGACAAAACCAGGACTAAACCAGGTCTAAACCAGGACTAAACCAGGACTGAACCAGGACTAAATGGAGACAAAACCAGGACTAAACCAGGACTAAACCAGGACTGAACCAAGGACTGAACCAGGACTAAATAAAACCAGGACTAAACCAGGGACTAAACCAGGAAACCAGGACTGAACCAGGACTAAATGGAGATAAAACCAGGACTAAACCAGGACTAAACCAGGACTTAAACCAGGACTAAACCAGGTCTAAACCAGGAAACCAAGACTTAAACCAGGACTAAACCAGGTCTAAACCAGGACTTAAACCAGGACTAAACCAGGTCTAAACCAGGTCTAAACCAAGACTTAAACCAGGACTAAACCAGGACTAAACCAGTCTAAACCAGTCTAAACCAGGACTAAAAGGACTTGAACCAGGACTAAACCAGGACTGAACCAGGACTAAACCAGGACTAAATCAGGTCTACACCAGGATTAAACCAGAACTGAACCAGGACTTAACCAGGTCTAAATCAGGACTAAACCAGGACTAAATCAGTTCTACACCAGGTCTGAAGCAGAAATACACCAGGACTACACCAGGACTAAACTAGGTCTAAACCAAAAGTGAACCGGGATTAAACCAGAACTGAACCAGGACTTAACCAGGTGTAAATCAGGACTAAGCTAGGACTAAACCAGGACTAAATCTGGACTAAACCAGGACTGTACTAGAAATGAACCAGGACTGAACCAGGAGGATTGAACCAGGAATAAACCAGAACTAAACCGAGGATTAACCAAGTTTAAATCAAGACTAAACCAGGACTAAACCAGGTTTGAACCAGGTCTAAACCAGGACTAATCTTGGACTAGGTCTTGGAATCTAGGACGGCCCCAGAGAGAACCCTGAGTCTGTGGAGCAGGGCGTCCGCAAAGCTCGATCCGGCGTCGGCTGAGAAGGGACGGTCCGTGCTGCGTATGTGAGGTGTAGGTTCTCGCTTTTGCGTCCCGGTACCAAACGACCCACGGCCCGGTACTGGTCCCTGACCCGGAGGTTGGGACCCCTGCATTAAACGATTCGATATATCAACATTTCGATATTTTTACACACCCCTAATCCTGCAAGTATTTCTGTTTATTTGACTTTAAAATCAGCAGAACCTTGCCTCAACTCGTAATTAACTTCATGTCGACCAAATCCAACAGTTTTGTAGATGTTTTTTTCCTTTTTTTTTTACTGACACAGTGTTTTACTTCGTCCGTTTTAAAATCTTGTTTCAGCCTGTAGCTCTTTTTTCTGCCTTTACCTCTGAAAACTGCTGCCTGTCAAAGTGAATTGCAGGTTATCTGGATGTTTCTAGTCGGAAACTCCGGCTCTTAGCTCCACTTTGCCTTGTCCCTGCCCTGTCTTTACCTCGTTTAGCTTTTCTTCTACTCCCGTTCAACTCCTGTCTGCACCTGTCTGCTCCTGTCTGCACCTGTCTGCACCTGTCCGCTGTCTGCACTTGTTCAACTCCTGTCTACACCTGTTCTTCTCCTCTCTGCTCCTGTCTGTACCTGTTCTGCTCTTCTATCTCTGTTCGCGTCTACCTGCTCCTGTCTCCTCCTGTCCTAGTCCTACCTGCACCTGCCTGCTCCTGTCCGCTCCTGCCTGCACCTGCCTGCTCCTGTCCGCTCCTGCCTGCACCTGCCTGCTCCTGTCCCCTCCTGCCTGCACCTGTTCTTCTCCTCTACCTCTGTTCGCCCGTACCTTCTCACGTTTCGCACCCATCTCCTCCTGCCCACTCGTGACCGCTCCATCCTGCACCTGTCTTCCTCTCTTACACCTGCCTCTTCCTGTCTACACCTGTCTGCACCTGTCCGCACCTGTCTGCACCTGTTCTACACCTGCACAGATCCTGTCTTCTCCTCTCTGCACGCGTCTACTCCTCCCTCGCACCTGTCTCGCCCCAGTTTGCTCCCGTTCTACACCAGTGTGCACCTGTCTCCTCCTCCTGTTCGCTCCTGTCTGCACCTGTCTCCTCCTCACTGCACCTGCCTGCTCCTGTCTTCTCCTCTCTGCACACTTCTACTCCTGTCTGCTCCTGTTCCTCACCTATCTGCTCCTGCTCGCTTCTGTTCGCTCCTGTCTCCTTTTCTCTGCTCCTGTCTCTGTCTCCTCCTGTCTTCTCCTCTCTCTGCACCTGTCTGCTCCTGTCTCCTCCTCTCTGCACCTGCCTGCTCCTGTCTTCTCCTCTCTGCACACTTCTACTCCTGTTTGCTCCTGTTCTGCACTGATCTGCTCCTGCTCGCTTCTGTTCTCTCCTGTGTCCTTCTCTCTGCTCCTGTCTCCTTTTCTCTGCTCCTGTCTCTGCACCTGTCTCCTCCTTTCTGCACCTGTCTCCTCCTCTCTGCACCTGTCTGCTCCTGTATCCTGCCTCTGACCTTTGCCTTGTATCCTTCTACAGCTCAGGGCTCTGCTGCATCCTCTCTCTGTCTCCTCCTGTTCGCTCCTGTCTCCTCCTCCCTGCACCTGTCTGCTCCTGTCTCTGCACCTGTCTCTTCTCCTGCCTCTGCACCTGTCTACTCCTGTATCCAACCTCTGACCTTTGCCTTGTATCTGTCTACAGTTCAGGGCTTTGATGCATCCTCTTTCTGTCTCCTTCTGTCCACTCCTGTCTCTTCCTCTCTGCACCTGTCTCTGCCCCTGTCTCTGCACCTGTCTCTGCACCTGCCTGCTCCTGTGTCCTGCCTCTGAGCTTTGACTTTTATCTGTCTACAACTTGAGGCTTTGCTGCATCCTCTCTCTGTCTCCTCCTGCTGTTCGCTCCTGTCTCCTCCTCTCTGCACCTGTCTGCTCCTGTCTCTGCACCTGTCTCTGCCCCTGTCTCTGCACCTGCCTGTTCCTGTATCCTGCCTCTGAGCTTTGTCTTTTATCTGTCTGCAGCTCAGGGCTCTGCTACATCCTCTCTCGGTCTCCTCCTGTTCGCTCTTGTTCCT